TAATCAAAACGGCCTGGTATTGGTGCAACAACAGGCATATAGATCAATGGAACAGAACAGAGACTCCAGAAACAGACCCATGCCATATGGTCAGTTAATATTTGACAAAGGAGGTAAGAGTATCCAATGGAGTAAGGACAGTCTCTTCAATAAGCGGTGCTGGGAAAATTGGACAGCTACATACAAAAGAATGAAACTAAACCACCAATTTTCACCATACACAAAAATAAACTCAAAATGGATAAAAGATTTAAATGTAAGTCACTAAACCATAAAAATCCTGGAAGAAAACATAGGCAGTAAAGTCACAGACATCCCACATAGTGGACTTTTCACTGATATGAACATCTCCTAGGTCAAGAGAAACAAAAGAAAAAATAAACATATGAGACTGCATCAAACTAAAAAGCTTCTGCACAGCAAAAGAAATCATCCTCAAAATACAAAGGAAACCCACAGAATGGGAGAACATATTTGCCAAGGATGTATCTGATAAGGGGCTAATTTCCAAAGTGTACAAAGAACTCATAGTACTCAGCAAGAGGAAGACAAACAACCCAATTAAGAAATGGGCAAAGGGTCAGCCTTGGAGCAAGGCAAACGCACTTTCCTGCACCAGTCGTGGACCGCTGTGGGGCGGCCTGACCCCAGGCGCTGAGGCGGCTCACATACCATCCTAGAGCCAGAATTGGAGCTACAAGATGGCTGATCAGGATCCTGGGGGCATTAGTCCCCTCCAACAAATGGTGGCCTCAGATGCTGGGGCTGTAGTCACCTCCCTCTTCACGACCCTCTTGGATGTGGTGAAGGTCCACCTGCAGTCTCAGCGCCCCTCATTGACCAGCAAGCTGATGCCTCCCTCCAGACTCTGGAGCTTCTCTTACGCCAAAATTGCCCTCCTCTCTCCAACCCACAGGGAAGTGTCTCCTGTACTGCAATGGTGTCCTGGAGCCCCTGTACCTGTGCCCAAATGGTGCCGGCTGTGCCACCTGGTTTCAGGGTCCCACTAGCTTCACTGGCACCATGGATGCATTTGTGAAGATTGTGAGACACCAGGGCACCAGGACCCTGTGTAGTGGCCTCCCAGCCACCCTGGTGATGACTGTGCCAGCAGCTGCCATCTACTTAACGGCCTATGACCAACTCAAAGCCTTCCTGTGTGGCCGAGCCCTGACCTCTGACTTCTATGCACCCATGGTGGCTGGTGCACTGGCCCACTTGGGCACCGTGACTGTTTTCAACCCCCTAGAGCTGGTATGGACAAAGCTGCAGGCTCTGCATGTGTCATTCCAGGAGTTGGGTGCCTGTGTCCAAGCTGCCGTAGCTCAGGGCGGCTGGCGCTCACTGTGGCTGAGCTGGGGCCCTACTACTCTTCGGGATGTACCCTTTTCAGCTCTGTATTGGTTAAACTATGAGCTAGTGAAGAGCTGGCTGAGTGGGCTCAAGCCAAAGGACCAGACATCAGTGGGCATCAGCTTTGTGGCTGGAGGCATCTCAGGGACGGTGGCTGCCATCCTGACTCTACCCTTTGATGTGGTGAAGACTCAGCGCCAGGTTGCCCTGGGAGCGGTGGAGGCTGTGAAAGTGTCGCCCCTGCACGCTGATGCCACCTGGATGCTGCTGCAGAAGATTCCCGAGAGTCTGGCACCAGGGGACTCTTTGCAGGCTCCCTCCCACGGATCATCAAGGCCACCCCCTCCTGTGCCATCATGATCAGCACCTATGAGTTGGGTAAAAGCTTCTTTCAGAGGCTCAACCAGGAACAGCTTCTGGGCCAGTGAGAGGAGCGAGGGGATGAGGGCCCCACCTCTTCCTTGGATGGGGTGGGATAGGAGGAGGCTGAGCCAAGTGCCTTGTCCTCAGGGTAGGGGCCTAATTTTTCTTCCCTCTTAGCTCTGAGCCCAGGGGTACCAGCCCACCCAGGCCCCTCAGACAGCTTTTTTCCTGCTCATCCTCATCTGAAGCCCCAAGGATCATTACTTTTCCACCCAGCCCCCCAAGTTCAAGACCAAATCTGTTAACTCCTTCCCCTGCCTTCTCACCCATTTCCCTGTGTGTGTATGTGGTAGCTGAGCCTGCCTCCAAGGGCCACAAAACCCTGGGCCTGGCTAGTCTGAACCCACTGCTGTTAATTCATTGAGTGTAAAGATGATGAATTTCTAAAAAAAATAAAAGAAAGAAAGAAAAAGAAAAAGAAATGGGCAAAGGTCTTAAATAGACACTTCTCCAAACAGGACATACGGATGGCCAAGAGACACATGAGAAAATGCTCAACGTCAATGTCGATAATCATCAGAGAGATGCAAATTAAAACCACAATGAGGTATCACTTCACACCTGTCAGAATGGCTGCCATCAACAAATCAACAAATGACATGTGCTGGCGAGGGTGTGGAGAAAGGGGAACCCTAGTACACTGCTGGTCGGAATGGAGACTGGTGCAACCACTATGGAAAACAGTATGGAGAGTCCTCAAAAAATTTAAAATGGAGCTGCCGTTTTACTCAGTGATTCCACTCCTAGGAATGTATTCTAAGAATCCTGAAACATTCATCAGAAAGAATATATGTACCCCAATGTTCATAGCAGCACAGTTTACAATAGCTAAGATCTGGAAACAGCTCAAGTGCCCATCAGTAGATGAGTGGATAAAAAAGCTGTAGGACATTTACACCATAGAATACTACGCAGCTGTAAAGAAGAATCTTGTACCCTTTGGGTCAGTATGGGTGGACCTGGAGAATATTATTCTAAGTGAAATAAGCCATGCAGCAAAAGACAAGTATCACATGATCTCGCTTATACATGGAATCTAAAGAACTTAAACAATGAACAGAATAGATTCAATGACATGGAAGCATAGATGAGACTGACGAATGTCAGGGATGGAGGAGTGCGGGTGGGTGGAGGGGGAGAGAGTAACCAAAGAATTTATATGCATATATGCTCAACCCAAGGACACGGACAATGGTGGAGAGAGGGACTGGGGAGGGGGAAGGGACAGGGTGGAACGGGTCATTGGGGAGAAAAAGGGACATCTGTAATATTTTAATCAAAAATAAAATTTAAAAAAAATTAAATATAGAACTGTCTTTTGACCCAGTGATCCCACTTCTAGGAATATATCCTAAGAATCCTGAAACACTAATCTGAAGGAATATATATGTCCCTAAGTTTATAGCAGCACTATTTACACTAGCTAAGATCTGGAAACAGCCCAAGTGCCCATCATTAAATGAGTGGATAAAAAAATCTGTGGGAATATACACCACAGAATTCTATGTAGCTGTAAAGAAGAAGGATCTCTTACCCTTTGGGACAGTATGGATAGATCTAGGGAATATTACGCTAAGTGAAATAAGCCGGGCAGAGAAAGACAAATATCCCATTAACTCACTTACACGTGGAATCTAAAGAACATAATAAACTGGATAAACAGAAATGATTTAATGACATGGAAGGTTGGAACAGACTCATGAATCTTATAGGGAAGGTGGAGCGGGTGGGTGGGAAGAGATTAACCAAAGAATCTATATGCATATTTGCATAACCCATGGACACAGACAATAGTGTGGTGGAGGCCTGGGGCAGGGAGTGGATGCAGGATGGAAGGGGTCAATAGGGAAAAAAGAAAACATCTGTAATATTTTGAACAATAAAAAAAATAAATTTTAAAAAAGCAATGATTAAGTTTAAAAAAAAGAAAGAAAATATTGCACAACTTTAATCTTTTAACATAGGTGCAGTCCACTACATATGGTGATGGGCACAGCTGTAATCTTGTCAAAACTTGATTAATATAGGAACTGTGTTCTGAATTCTGGATTCCTTTGCTTGGCTTTTTTTTTTTCTTAGCTGACATTTAACTTTCAGTGAAGAAACTGTAGTTTCTATATTTTTTGAACTATGCAATCTTAATCATAAACATATATTCACATATGGCCAATGTAATAAGTTCAGCATCATTAACAAAGAAAGAATATGAAATTTATCCAAGCTTCAAGTTGCTGATGTGCAGTATATATTTTTAATAATAAACATTTCATTTCCTAAAGAAGGATTATTATGGGATCTTTCTCCACTTTGAATTGTTTTGGGGGGTGAAATATACAAACAACCACAAATCTAAAATCTACTATTATAAATTTATGTATTAAATTTATATATGTTTGTAAGTATCTTAGGTTTTCATTGTTATATTTTCAACCCTTTTTTTTTTTTTTTTAGTAATGAGACTGCTTCTGTCCCAATTTATTTATTTTTTATCCTCACCCAAGGATATTTTTTCCATTGCTTTTTAGAGAGAGAGAGAGAGAGAGAGAAACATCGAAATGCAAGAGATGCATCCATTGGTTGTCTCCCGCACTCGCCCCAACTGGGGCCAGGGATTGAGCCTGCAACCGAGGTACATGCCCTTGACCAGAATCAAACTGGAGACCCTTCAGTCCGAGGGCTGATACTGTAACCACTGAGCCAAACCAGCTAGGGGATATTTTCAAACCTTTAATTAAAATGTTTTAATCAATTCATTTGGACACTTTATTATTTTTTACAAACAACTTGTAAAATATAGTAAATACTCAACCAAATAGCAGCTTTAATTGAAAAATATATAGATGTAATATAGATAAAGGTATTTTTCTATCTGTATAGCACAATTTTAACCCCACTTTGCTAAAAGGGGGGTGGGGAGAGGGAAAGGTGTGGAAAAACATAATAATGTAATAGTGTTTATTTTTCTGCACCTAAACAGTTATTTTAAATCAAGTAATAAAAACTATTAGCTACAGTAAGTACTTATATTTGCCAGTTTGATTTAATTTCCAATCTAACAAAAATGTGTGGTAAGTTCTTTTTATAACTGTTTTATGTATTTCACTTTATAGTACATGAAAAATATAGTCTTGTGAAAAATGAGTATAGACTTCCTTGGATATATGTAAGTCATAGTAAATGAAAATTATTATGTCAATATATTCTTGTTTGTTTTTATTTTGCAGGTAATACTAATAGAATTCTTACCAAAATACCCCATATTCCGACCTGACTGAGGAATTTTATTCAGTCACTTCTGTGTTACCTGTCATTTCCTACCCTTAGTGCCTTGTAGATGATTTTGGAATGAATATGGTCTCCTTTGCTGTGTTCAACTTATTCTTTATAATGGTAGAATAGTCTCCTCACTCTTTCATTTGTGTTGGTTTAAGAAAATTTGCACATCTTTTTTTTTGTTGTTAAATGAAGCTTGTGTTTTGCACTCTCAATTTTTTAAATAAATACACACACGTGTGTGTATATGTATAGTTGCCATTAAAGATAAAACATTAATGCTGGTGTTTAAAAAAACAGCAACAACTTGTTCTGAGCATGCTGCCTTATAATTTTCATACTTGCTGTTTCTAATATGCATCATTTTTCTAGGCTACTTTAATGCTCTGTAATCCCTTATTGAAGAGACATAAGTAAGCTTTTGGTAGCTTTTAGAAATAGTTTTACTCTTTCCTGCTTTTAAAGGACATGCAGTTAATACCACTGGTTTTGTGCTGCACTTAGCTAAATTATCACTTATGTTAGTGGGTAAAATATTTAAACTCCTGAAGACTTGTAAATATTGTCTCTTTGCATAATATAAAATGTGGTATGCCATGGTTTACAGAATTTAATATTACTCTTACTGTATTGCCAACAATTCTGCATAGATTTTAATATGAATGAAGTTTGTAAGATTACTTTTGAATGTACAGACTATTAACATGCTGTTGTATGGCAAAGCCATAATGAGTATGTTAAAAATTTCAGCTGTATAACAGGGTTGCCCTTTGTAAAGAGTTGATTAAAATTGAAATCATTACCTGAGATATTCTGCATTGCACCTGAAACTGAGAACCTGATTTTTTTCCATTTAATTTAGTTATTCTCATTTTGTCCTCCATTCCATCCCCTAAAGAATTCATTTGACATCTAACGCATTTAACAGCCTCACTGTTCTCATTTATTTCCCTTAATGTTTCATTTCCCTCATTTGAAAATACACACAATTATGACTTGTAAGGAGTGTTTCAAGATTTCAAATGGCTTAGATGGTGTCTAGAACTCCCTTCTGGAGTTCTTATATTCTACTTTGGGAAAGAGAGCTAATTGAAAAGCTGTATCTAAAGAATATGTAGTGGCTGAATCATAACTGATAAAATATTCTTAATCTTATTTTTGAGGATCTGGTTTTCTACATTTAGACATTATTAATAAGGAAAGACAAGTATTTAGATAAAAATATTTTACTTTATAAATTCACCCCATATGTAGCCTTTTCATTGGTATGTGCATATATCTATTTCTCTTCACAATTAAGATAAATGAGAGCACCACACTCTAATTCTTCTAGAATTTGAATTTTTAACATAATAAAAAAAGCTATGTATTGTGTTAATTCACCCACAAATGTATGCCTATATATATGCATTATTTGTAATTTTTTGTGCTAAAAATAAAATTACCTGGGACTGAATAATATTTTATTTATCACCTTACTTTTATTGCTTTTGGTGAAGTTTTTTAGGCAAACATTTATCCCAGGGAAGAGAACAATCATTTCTTCATACAAGGTCAACCCTTTTAAAGCCACTTTTAAAATGTATGCCTGCTTTGACATCCACAGTCTTAAACCAGTGATAGAAGAGGGGAAAAAGAAATCCTATTTGATATGTGACTATAATTTTTGCACACTTTTTCACCTCCCTCTGTAGAGCCCCATTAACATGCCACCCATCCACCCAGAATCTAACTTTTCATATGTTGTCTGTGTCTGCAAATATCATTTGTTTGTCTGCTTCACAACTGAAGGTGTATTTTTGTAGAAAGGGTGGAAACCTCTGAAAACACATACCAGATGTCTTGTTTTATAGCTTAGGTCAGGGAAAAATTGTATCTGTGATTTATGTTCCAGCTAATATCAGGTTTATGCTTCAAACTGTGAGTTTAATATCAAAATTGATTTGCAGAATAATAAAAAATTTATAATTATCACTGATAGAGTAATTACTTGTAAATGTCAGCCCATAAAAATCTCAATTTTTCTATAAACTTAGAATTTAGCCATGTGATGGTCATAGTAACTTTTTCTGCCATGTATAAATCACACTTGGTTTTACTCAAAGAACAGCAGAAATTAGTGAATTGTTTCCATGATGTAAATATTGAGACAGGAATAGAATGCATAGGAGGTGACAGAGTATAATTCAAGTTACAGTAGTATTTGTTATAAAAACCATTTGCCAATATGTATAAACTTAATTTTAAAACTTACTGTAATCGCTCTTAAATGTATTATTTTATTGATCATTATGCTGGTTAACTCAACTTATTTTCTTGAACTATTCAAAAAATACCTAGTGTTCTTTTTCACTTTCTTATATGACTGCTTTTTCAAACTTTTTGCATTCAGATGGGCCTGGTTTGCATTTGGAGATTTTAGAGTGCTTTGGGGGAGGGGTTGCTAATGAAATTAGCAACAGTGAATGCTGAAATGACAGAACACACTGTGATCATTAATTCCTCCCCCACCAACCTTTTTTCTTTTATCCTCAAGATAGAATGTACTCATATATTTTCATCAAGTTAATAAAATATTTTTGTGAAAGTTGTATTTTAATTGAAGAAAGTAATTTTTAATTTCTTTGCTGCATAACATTCCTTTATGAAACCTGCTGTGGTTGTTTCCACAGGAAATAACATGTATTTGCCAAAGTATATAAATCTCACAAAGCTTTAAGGTTACAAGTTAAAATTTGTTCTTCTCTAACTTCCCCATATGCAGTTCACCCCCATTACCCCTTTAAAACACCTAAATTGTATATAAAATGAAATAAGCTTTAACCTTTTTCAGGTATTCTTTGTTCCCTTTTAACCTCTCATGTTAATTTAGGAAAGAGACCATTGTTGTCAAATGTTAGAAGCAGATGGAGAAGTGCCTTGTCTTCTTTGAACAAAAATAACATTTTATTTGGAAGGAAGCAGAATAGATGAATTAGTAGAAATTAGATTTTAAACCATCTTTTCAACTAACTATATTTTGGTAACACATTATATTTCTTATACTTATTATTTAAAGCCTGTTTTTTTCTTTTCCCCCAATCATGTGATCCATTAGTGACAAATATTATAGTACAAGACAATCAGTCACTTACAAACCTAGTTTAATTCTAATGGTAGTGAAGATTTAATTTTATATGGTTATGGAACAACAATGTTCTTGGATTGAAGCCCCACCAAAACCCACTTAAGTGTTTAATAGATATACTATTCATATTATGTCCTATAAACAGTAATGTCTGATCAGTTAATCAAACTGTGTTAATATGTCATATTCTACCATTTTTAATGAAATTTATTCTTGATTTTTAATAATTGAAGTTCCATATCATTTGTAAGACTGAAAAAATGGGGTATTTTCAAATATATGAGAGCTTTAAAAATTATTAACATTTAAACTTTGCTTACAAATAAACCACCACTTACAAAATCAAACTTCACTACTTGGGCCCTGACCAGCTTGCTCACTTGGTTAAAGTGTCAACCCGATATGTGGAGGTTGCGGGTTCAATCCCTGGTCAGGGCACATACAAGAGTCAACCAATGAATGCATAAATAAATGAAACAACAAAATAATGTTTCTCTCCCCCCTCCTTCCTCTCTCTTTAAAAATAAATAAATAAATGAATAAATAAATAATAAATAAATAAAATATTTTTTTTAAGAAAACCTCACTGCTTGAACAATATTTCATTAGAATTTATTCTGATCTAGGAAGATATAGAAATTATATACATCTTTTTAATGGGAGCAGTTTCACATAGTGGAAACATTTTTAGCTAATTTGATGGTAAGATGCTCAAATATATTAAACTAAGTCCTCTTAGGCATATAAAATTCTACTTTAAAAATCCATTTTGCAACAATTGTCAAGTTGTTCAAGTTCCTTTAAATCAGGGGTGAGGAACATCTGGCCCACAAAATCATTTGGCCTGGCCCTGCCACGACAACCACAGGCAGGACTAAAAATTCAATAAATCTAGTAGCTTTTTTCATAGCTAATTTTTAATTTGATAATTTTGTATGGCCCACGAATGATGTTATCAATATCCAAATGGCGTTTGGCCAAAAAAAGGTTCCCACCCGTGCTTTAAATGATGAACTATAGGAAAATTTTCCACAGAAAAGAAATTGGCTTAGTAACATTACCTGTTCTTGTAATATGTGGACTAAAAATAAGGATAGAAATAAATGATGATAGGTAGATGATGATGATGATAGATGATAGATAGATGATAGATGATAGATAGATGATAGATAGATAGATAGATAGATAGATAGATAGATAGATAGATAGATA